AACCCCCAGAATGCTTGTCTAGATTCCTCCTATGAAGTGTGAATGCCCGCCTCTACTGACCCCAAGCAAAAGAAAGTTATGACCATCACATCTGGGCCCGACTTAGACAACCACACAAAGCCAGCTGCTCACGGGGTGAAAGGGAAAAAGAAGGAAACCCAAAAAGGGGCGACGTGGCTGGCCGTCGGCCATCCCCCAAGCGCATGGACGTGACAAGCAACGGTCTCGCGCCACATGACCCCCGAGAGGGGCATGAGCTGGAGCCAGTGCTGGTCCTCCGAGTCCTGGCAAAGGCTCGCAAGAACCTTCACACATGTGGCTGTGCCTCAAAAAATCGGTACCAAAATGGAACCCTGGTAGGTGGAAACATGGACCAAAACCTGCGGTTTGCCCCTCCTGTTTCATTTTGAGCCACACCCATGTGGCCATGGGTCAAAATCCAAATCGTACCCCCAGTGAACATCCCGTACCCCCACTAAGATAGACGAAAATGGGTGGTGCACCTACCCCAACATGGTACCACCATGTAAATTGTGTTGCCCCTCCAACCAATTCACATGGGCCCTGGAAGACCATTCTCCTTTTTAAAGGGGCGCTGGTCAGGCTCCGTGTTAGTTGGTGGCTAAAGGTTGCTTTCTTCTAACATCTTCCAACCATTTTTGTCTTGCCAAGCAAAAGAAGCCTATCGCCCCCGACCCACATCAACGCTTCGGGTCCATCTTGAGGTCGCTCTTGAGCCGCATGGCTCGTCGGCGGACGTTCGAGCTCCCAAGGAGCCCCCCCAAAACAAAATGCAGACAGAAGCTGCGAAACGCACCTCTCAGAAATTCGAAGCTTCGGCTTGAAGCTGTCCGCCGTGTTTCCGGAAAAATGGACACCTGGCCAAAAAAAATGGTGACCCGAGATTTCAACTTGGCACCGGTGCCACAAAGAGGCCCGGCCTCTTGTGAAACTTCTACGCTTGAGCCGCAGCGAGTCAGCGGCCTTGAAGCAGAAGGCGGTCTTGTAAGGCGAGTCAGCGGGACGTGGGGTTTGGTGTTTTGATAAACCAAGGTGGACGCAAATATCCAGGGTCGTTTCATCCACTTGGGAAAGCAACAGCCCATGGGTATCTGCGTCTGCGTTGGGGTTTGCAGCCGAAAATGGGTCGCCCTGGCTAGAAAGTGCTGTGGCAAAACTCAAAAGGCACACCCTCTGCTGGTTTGCAGGTCCCATGTGAAAAAGCACACCCTCTTGCGACAGTAGGTCAAGACCACCCCCAAAACAGCAGGTTTCCAAACTGAAGAGCCCGGGAGAAACCCCTGGTCTATACAATGCTCTCTGGAATCAAGCCAGCAACCTTCAGGTCAGGTGAGTCACCATCAAAACCCGGCACTAAAGGGGTCAACCCAAACCAATGTAAAGAACCGTAAGGGCATCGGCTCCCATCTTTGGCAAAGGAACTGTCCCCTAACCTTCGTCTACGCGGATTTCAACCCGCCTCCGTCATCTCCAGGGCGTCGACCTCATACCCAGTCATTGCCAAGCCTTTCACCTCTGTCATCGCAAGACCTTCCCCAAAATCGGCCTCTCACCGATCCAACAGCTTGATTTCCCAGGTAGACTTACACCCAGTGGTGGATTTCCCAAAATCAGGAACCTCTTGGTTTGAGTCTTTGAGGAGACAGAAAAAAAGGAACCCTGGCTGGGTGTCTCAGCATCCGCCAGGATGGAGGAAAGCAACTCCTTGATGTCGACGCCTGCCCCCCACGGCTGATGGTGATGCTGTACTTGGGCCAAACTCGCAAAGTACTTGGACTTGATTGGCACGGGCCAGGGGGTCATGTACATCCTACCTTCTTGGCTATGCCTCTTAACATTCATGCCGCAAATCAGCCACTCGGGGGGGGCGGATTTGCGTATGCCGCGAGCTGGCGGCAAGAAACTGCAAAAAAAAATGCAGTTCGCTTCCCGAACCTGGACGAAGATCAGCCATGGCTCAAGATGCATCGGGCGGGGTATGGTGTTTGCGGGCGGAACCATGCTCAGGACATGAGATCTTCTGCTCAGCTATGCCTTGCTTCAAGTGAACATTCCGAGTATGGCATTGGCTTCGCTGTTGACCACCCTCTTGCAGAAAACAAGACGCTCATTTTGAGAAGGTCACTTTAATGTACCCCATCCATCACAGGTACGCAGGTGATTTGTGCTACTTCATTTAACAAGCGCAGCGACACCTCTCCGAAGCTTTCCGGCAGCGCGAGGGAACAAATCGAAGGACGCAAAGACTCGAGAGACGGGCTGGATCAAAGGACACGCCTAAAACCAGTTTCATCCAGCCAGCCTTTGAAATGGCTCCTAAAATTGAGTAGTCAAATAGGCCAAGGTGTATCGGTTAGGGAAATCTGCAAGCCAATCATTCGTTCCAAAGTAATTTGAAGTATGCAACTCCAAAGCTTTCTGTTCAAGGCTGGCACTTTAAAAGTCTGGGCCAATCTTTGTACATGGGGAAACGCCCGCCCCCGCTTGCCACGCTTGCCACGCTTGCCAGCCTGAGAGTCTGAGGCTCTGCGAGAACTGGACCGGTTCCAAGTCGGGGGGGGGTCGTTTTGAGAACCCAACTGAATTCGTGCACCAGGGTCCTATCCCTATTTCCCCCAACATCACATCCAAAAGAATTTCACTTGGACCAAAAGGTGGAGGTTTAAAACCACCCAAAAGGGGGGGAAATAGAGCTGCACCCTGAGGACATCAAACATTGATGCCTTATTGAGACGTGAACGCGTGACCCGAGGGGCCTCAGCTTCTCACACGATCCTCCACCTCCAGGACAGTCCACTCCCCGTCCTGTCCGCACCATCTGGCACCATTTCTCTACCAGTATCAAGGTCACCCCCCAACTAATAAACTAAAGGGAAACCACCCCTGCCCCGCGACTTTGGTAACTGCCAGAAACAATCGAAATACTAGCCCCCAGAGAACTGAAACGAATCAATGACCGGTAGTAGAACGCCCTCACTTTAACCCTCATGGGGGGAGTCCCCGAAAAGTGGCTAGCCAAAGGGAAACATTATGGTTCATCGTTAACCAGCACCACCACGACTCATATAATAAAAGCATGCTAACACGTAAAGTGTTAACTGGTATGATTGTTAAGTCTATGAATAATGTTTGTTCAAGTCCAATGCTGTGTAAAAGTAGTGTAGTCCCATTGTCTGTTGTATCTATATCTAACTCATCAGTGTCCTTCAGAATGTCTAATTCTGAACAGGATGAACCTCTTTCCAAAATATGAATATCAATTTGGTTCACGCTCGTCCGGAAAAATAATTTCCAAAGTTCGTATCAACAATAACTACCATTGAATAAATGCGTGGTGTATGTGATACAGTTTCTTCATTATAACACAAGAATTAATGCGCTGTCTCATATGTCCTTTTGTGCCTATCAGAATTCAAGACGTTTTATGTTGAACGGCACGGGGCCATTGTGACGGTAGTTATTTCCTTGGTTCGTCTCGTGCTGAAATATCTGGTTATGCTATACTGTCTCCTTCATGCTTCGCTATGCATCAACTCAATGTAGTCTGGTTCTCCTCCGAATAACACATATCGCAAGCGCACCATACAAGATCTTATATGTTGCAAATACAACAAAACTAAGGTTGTTAGAGGCGATATTGCCAGTTTCTAGTGCGATATGTTGTTCTTCTTGCTTGCTGATTGTGCTTTTGCGCTTTAAATATGCAATGTATACATATATATATATATATATATCTATATATATATATGTGCAGTGTAAGTTAAAATGTCTTGTTGTAGTTGTTTTAGATCAATTACTTCCTTCTCGTGATATTCTGGGCGTGGCTTCTTTTTCTGCTTTCTTGCGCCTGTCTTTTCTCCTAAATTGCTGTCCTTTTTGTATCCAAGCTCTTCTAGACTTTTTGTTATCTTGCATTTTGCGCATTTGCATTTTACTGGGTCGGTCATTGGTTAATGGAGAATGTACCATTTAAACCCTTCAAGAAAAAGCCCCTGGAACTTGTTCGAGCAATAGCGACTTGAGAGTAAACACGGGTATCTCCGTCAGAATTACCTGTATACTATTCTAAAGTCTGTTGCTTTGGTTGGCTGATTCCGTTTCTTGTTTAATAAGTCCAAATATTGTGCTCTCTTACTCTTATCTGCGAGGGGGAGCATGCTGCCGATCGCGCCTTGCATATTGGATCCCCATGACGCAGTGTGAAATGACGAGGCAACCCTGCTCAGTGGGAATTCTCGACTACGGCCTGTAGGCCTGTTGATAGGGCAGTTGCAAGATTTCTTGGGCTGTTGAGCGGAAGTCTGGGGCTGTTGCCAAGGATTTCTGGGCATTTGCAACGGGTTTCGTGGATGTTGCGATTGTTGTCTGCGTCAGTGGCAATTGTCGTCCGCGTTGGTTGGTCCTGTCACCTATTTCAGTTGGAGCCGTCGCCCATGTCAACTGGAACTGCCCATGTCAGTTGGAACGGTTGCCTACGTCTGTTGCAATTGCACACGAGCCACGACGATGCACATCCATCTATTAAAACCTTGTTCCCACTCACATGTTGCCATCTATTCAGGGTATATTACCGGGATAATGACATGATTTGGGTTAACGATTGGAAATGTCCCATTTCTCAATCACTTTTCGGGGACTGAGATTTGGTTGAAAACGGCTGGTTTTGATAGGCGTATTTGAATTGTGAGAAAGAAGTTTGGGGGAGGGGGAGGAGTGGATGGCAAAATGTGGTGAGAAAGGCTAGTGCCAATAGGAATGAGTTCCAAAACCACATGCAAAACCAAAGGCGGGAAAAGAAAGGAGCCCAAGACAATACAACAACAACAACACTAACATGTTGCAGTGGCAAGATAAACAAACAAGACTAACGCCAGCTGGGTGCTTCTCAAAACTCGGGGCTCCTTCTGGTGGGTTTCCTTTTGGCCTTCCCCGCGAAACCCAAGGGGACGGGTCCCTATCGTGAGACCCCCCCAGCATTCGGCTCGTCGGGCTCAGTTTTGGGCCACAGCCTCGTGGCCAGCGGGGCCAGGCCTGCGATGGCTTGAGGAGCTGCGCGCTGTGCATCACGCGACCCAGAGGGGAAAGGCACACCACATGAAACCACGACAAAAGCGCTTGGGTGCCAAAACCCAGGGCCCAGGACGTACCCTTCTGGTGGGAAAAGGAAAACCCCCGGAGAAAACAAAAAAAGTCGGGCCAAGTTTATGTCGGACATCAATCCAGGGTAAGTGATGTCCGGTCCAAGCACTCGAACTTTACGTACCGATGCTGTTCATCCGGGCAAAGTGCTGGGTGACTGCTTCCCAGGGGACAATAGTTCCAGCCTGGCCCTAAATCGTTCCTCGAAGCTACCGCCAATTTGCTTGTGAGATGGCAAGGGCAGGCACCCCTCCCCCAGCCAGCGAATCTGAGAGGGCTGAGGAGTCCAGTACAGCTAGCCACTTTTTCAAAGTTTTACTCTAAAGGCGGCCTCCTGGCAACTCAACCCTCCTGATTTGTAAACAGCTCCATATGGCGTCCCACAAGCAATTCTGGAAATAGTTCTAAATGGCGCCCCACAATCTGCAAATAGTTCCAAGTGGCGTCCCACAATCTGTAAATAGCTCCGTGATGACATTTCCATCAAAATACCCACAATTCGGCAAACAGTTCCAAATAGCGCCCCACTGTTTGTAAATAGTTCTGAATAGAGCCCCGCATTGTGTAAATAGTTCTGAATAGCGCCCCCACCCACAATGTGTATATAGTTCTGAATAGCGCCCCACAACTTGTGAATAGTTCTCAATGGTCCCCCACAATTTTGTAAATGGTTCTGAATGGTCGCCCACCTTGTGAATAGTTAGTTCCCTTCAAAAAACAGAAAGCCAAAATAAACAAGCCGACGGTGTACCCAATGCAGGCCCACTTGGGTCTGCGTCAAAAGCGGGACTTGGACCTCACAAAAGAAACAGGTTTGCTTTTGGTTTCCCAAAACAAACACCCCGAGATTGGTACCTTCAAACACCATGTGTATATTATATACTCAAAATTGGGGACCCCTCCAGGTGGTTGTGCTTTTGGTTCCCTTGAGATTTTCACCACAAAGGGGTCCGCTTCCTATTTTGAGAAACCCCCCATATACAAACTTCCAAAAAAGAACGCGCCGAAGTGCAGAGGAGGCGCGCCACTGCATAGTGCCGGGGCAAGGCCTAGCTGCGGAAGCCGAAGGCAAGCAGCGAATCGAAGCCAATGTTCGATCGATCCGAAGCAGGCGGAAACAACTGGCGAACTTGGATTTCGATTTGGGCGCTGCTAAATTTTCGCAGCTTGCTCGGCAGGCGCGCAATGTTGCCATACGTGAGCTACAGGCACTATGAGGGGGGGCGCCTCCTTTCTTGCTGGTGCAATAAGCAGGGAACGACCACTAGAAGCAATCCTTCATGGTTTCCTTTAAGGGGACCAAAGCCCTGGTTCATTCCCACATTTCTTGCTGAGCAACAGCAAGAAAACGAATCTCTGGCAGATCGTAGCATCTTCCACTTGTTTTACATGCAATGACATGGGCGCTTCACTCTATGGATGGAGATGTCGCAAGATAGCTTGCGAGCAGATAGCTTTGCGAGCCCCGCCGGCGCTTCTGCTCATGACTTGGGGCTGCTTCACTGGGTTGGGCCGACCCCTGTTGACAACATCTGCAAGCATCTATCGTAAGCAACAGGTCTCCCTTATAAACAATCTCCAACACCCATTGACCTATTGTTTAAGCAACCTCCTTTTAAGCTTCCCTTGAAATAGGCTAGGGTCTGGTTGCGCAAACATGCTTTTTGCTTTCAGCCGCAGAGTCGTACTCTGACGGAACCCCGGCCTCTGCGTGACCTGGCCACCGGAGCCCAACTGCAACAAGCCTCTGTACCCCCCAATTTTCCAACCTGGGGTTGGAGTGACCCTCGCTTTGGTTCCTGTGCGCATTCTAGCCGCTGAGACCACCCCATGTGAGCTCCGAGGCAGAAGCAGTGCGAAACATAGGGCCAGGTAGCCCAGAACCGGCAACCACCCCGACCGAAAACCCAGCCGCTCCGTGTAGCCAGCATGGACACACACAGAGAGATGACTGACGCAGCATGCTAAAGAAGCATTTGTGGCCCTCGGGAGCATGCCACACAGCGCGGGCAATTCGAGACGTGGCAGGGATGCTCATACTATGAAGGAAGAGGCACCAACCGGAAATTGCGGTGCAAACGTGCACCGTAAAGATGGAGCTTACCCTGTACCCTCTACAAAAGCCAGGGGTTCAAATCCAAATCCAACGCGGCCAATCGAAGCCACCAGTTGTGAATCTTAGTGGAACGCCAGTTGGTCGGTTCAGCAGATGAAAGTACCCATGCCGATCAATCCACACCACTTGATGGTTGTGCCTGAGAAAATTCCCGGACCGAGGGGGCTCCGTTTTTTTCGGAATTTGACCCACAAAGCGGGGTACAAATGCAGAAGTCAGGGGTCCTCTGCGGCTCCAGACACACACGCCGATCGGCACCAGTTGGTATAGCCTTCATCCATCCCAGCTGGTGCCGCTCGAAGTGGATTTTGCCCGTCACTAGGATACTCTGACGAATTCACACAAACCCAGAAACAGCGAGGGCTTTCAAAGCACTGAGAGGACTTGGCTGATTCAACAGGCACGAGGTAGTCGGCACGGTCTTAGAGGATATCTCTGCCGCTCGAGGGTCTTTCGGAGCACTAGGGCTCCTGGGCAAACTTGGGGGCTCAAGCGGGGTACAGCTCTGGAACCTCTGAAGGGCCCCAAAAACTCTCAAGGATACCCCTCCGGTTACGGGACAGCTGGTTCTGGCTAACCCGGAAAATGGACACCAAAAGGACCATCCTCCCCGCAAATTGTTTGAAGGCCACTTTCTCCGTTGGTGGTTAAAAACCCTGGGTTTTGGAGTGGTTTCGAGCCATATTCCAGGGCAGTAAAAAAGAAGAAGAAGTCCACCCAAAAGAAGGACACACCCGGCTGACCAGTTTCGCGCCTGGTGGGGAGACGCAGCCAAGATGCTCCTCAACCGATTGGCACATTAGCCCGGGGCAAACTCGTCTTTTCGGCAGACGAGTTTGGGCTTCATGCTGCCAAGGGGAATCCATCCCCCAAAAGGAAAGTAGTCTTCCCGTGATTGTTGGAGAGATGAATTTCAAGTGGTTGGACCCTTGGGTAAACGTCATTTACATGGGGACAATATGTCCACAAGCCATTTCGAGGGCGTTCCTCCAATCGCAAGATGAGTAAGTCCCTCCTGGCTGGTGCACTTGGAATTGCGCGAGTTTCCCTCGAGACAAGCCCCACATTGACCATAGACCCAAAAAACTGCCCAATTCCTCTGTCCCGAGCCCCATAATGGACCCAGAACCCGCTGGACGGTTTGCCCTGGCCCGGGCAGCCAGCCCCGGAGGCTCTGAGTGCCCCCTACGGCGCGCAGAAGGGCGGAGAGCAATTGCAAGGTGGGCGCCTCATGACGCACGCGGCTCGCGGCTCGCGGCACAACTTCCCTCCCCCCGGCCCCCCCCCCCCCCGCGGAAACGGGACCCCAACAGGGCAATGAGCGAGTCACCATCAGAAGCTTCACCTTAGCCCCAATTGGTTTGGAGGCACCTTCCACACATTCCAGCAACTAAGGGTTGTGTGAATCCTGTAAACAGCACAAACAACTGGGCGGAACGCGTTCCGCCTATGCTTGAGACTGAGTACCCTGTGATGACCTTCACTCAAACCTGGGTTTCGATGGCGTGCGCAATGACTGGTACATCCTCAAAGTCACATCGTGTTTGAAGAAACCTGCCCATCCCAAAAATGTTGAACTCCTGAAAACATGCAACCCCTCTGGGCCCATTGCTTGGGCTAAAGGCCCAAAGGTCTTCGTATTTTAGCTGAAGCCAAGACTCCTGCGAGATGAATCCCGCGACCCGACAAGTTCCACGAGGCGCGCCTTCTGCAGGGCGACCCCCTGACAGCTGCACAGCCGCAGCAGGTCCTCGCCAGGTCAACCGGACGGTTTGGACCAGACCCAAACCAAATGAAACACCATCCAGACGGAAAACCGGAGAAGAAAAAAAACATGGGCTATGCATAGGTGTCCTTTTAGGGGAGTAGATGGGTTTCCCTGAAAGATGAGGAAACCACCAGGTAGCCATTGTTTTTTCTACCAAAACAACCAAAAAGGACTGGGCAAAATCTACGGTAAATTCGAGAATCGGTGTCCTTGTTGCACTCTCAAAAAAGACAACCCATTTGGGAGAGGGCAGTTTTTCCTATCTGCATTCTGCAAAGGATGATCCTGTACCCAGATCCCTCTTTCAAATTTCTGGCCTTCCTTTTGGCTTGTCCAAAAAAGGGTGCCACACACACACACACTTAAACTCCCACACACCCTTCCGGTTCTAGCCCCAAACCACTACCCTCAGCGGATCTTTTTTTGTTTTTTGCTGGGTCTGGTTGTGACCATTGACTCACGGCCGCACCTGGTCCACCATGCGCAGGGCCGCAGCCTCGAAATGTTCACCGTGGATCCTCTTCCCGAACGTTTCCCACAACCCGCAGCCATTTTTGGCAGGCTGTTCAGCTGCTAGGGTTTAGGGTTTAGGGTTTAGGGTTTAGGGTTTAGGGTTTAGGGTTTAGGGTTTAGGGTGGCTTTGACCTGTATTCCCAAAAGGTATGTTTCATCTGGGCTCTACTCAAAGCGACGGGGCTTTAGGCTCTGCCACAGCAAGTCTCTCGGCGCAATTCCCTCTCTCGCGCCCTAAGCCAAGCGCAAACTCGGTGGTGCAAATGTGGTCATACACCTGGCGCTTCAGCCGAAGCTCTAAAGGAACAGAGAAAAAGCGGGGAACCCAAACCCCTGCGTAGGGAAAGCCATGGGCACTTTTGTTGGCTGTTCGAAGCGATTTTTTCTGTCACAAGCTTCACGTCAGGTCATCAAAAGGTGAAGGGTCTCTTGGCTCTGGGTGC